CACCGCTCGGACGGGGGCTGGGTATAGCCACTGGGCAGTGTTAATGGCCTCACTTGGCTTTCTCCCCTTCAGAGGATGAGGTGACTGTGGGCAAGTTCTACGCGACCTTCCTCATCCAGGAGCACTTTAGGAAATTCATGAAGCGCCAGGAGGAGTATTATGGGTATCGGCCTAAAAAGAACGCCATTGCTATCCAGGTCAGTGCAAACAGGTCTGGGGATCCCAGCTGCTCCTCTTGCCTGGATAAAGCAGCCAGCTTGTCCCTCCTGCACAAGGGCAGGGCAGGGCTCAGGGGGCAGAATTGCCTAGTGGATAGAGACCCAGGCTCGGCCACCAGCACCGCTGGGCAAGTCATTTCCCCTCTCTGTGCCTCAGTTCCCCCAGCTGTAAAATTGGGATAGGGACACTGACCTCTGTGGTAAAGCACATTGGGATCTCCTCGTGAAAAGTGCTTCACAAGAGCTAGGTGGTGGTGGTGTTATATGCTGGGCAAGGTGGGAAGCAGGCCTAAGTATTTGAAGGTGTCGGTACGAGGCTGGCAGAGGAATTCTCGAGGACGGCCGGAGAGGAAGCACTGGGATGGAGCTGAACAAAGGGAAATGGAGACAGGGGAACAGTCTGTGGGTGGAAGCTCCATCCCTTAGAACACTGAAAATGGGGCTGCACAAAGGGTACGTTGCATGGGAGAGCCCGTGGATGACCCCAGACAGGTCTCAGTGTGTAAGTGAGGGGACCTCATGTTAAGAGGAACAGTCGTGAAATGGAGGAGGCTGGCCCATCCTAAGGGAGCGCTTGGAGGCTGCCTCCTCGGGGCCTGGCAGTTGGTCTCTGCTGCACACAGCTTGGACTGGGGCCTTGACTGAGCTCTGGGCTTTCAAGGGCTTCCCATGATGGAATCTCAGAGCTGGTGCCCCCACACCACCCTTCCTGCAGCCCTGCTCCTTCCACGAGAGCCCAGACTCAGTCTCTACTGAGGTAGCGTGCTCTAGAGGAGTAAGCACGGTGGTGAGCAGCAGGACTCCTGGGTTCTTTCCCCGCTCTGCCACTGACTCGTGTAGCCATGGGCAAGTCACCTCCCTCCTATCTGCCTCGGTTTCTCCACCCATGAAATGGGGACAAAGAGGCAGGAACAAGGGGAAGGTCTGAGGCTCGTGTCGCTCCCTGCCCCCCCTTCTGGCTGATGGAACGAACAGCCCCACGCAAGAGTTTCAAACTGGAGTCCAGTCTCCCTGCGTCAGAGGTCCTGGGGGGCATGTCCCAAGCACAGAGGACTCCTCCCCTGGGGAGATGGGGGCATTTCTCTTGTCCAACCTGGAATGCAGCCATGTCTCAGGGTTCCCATGGCCTCCCTGCGGGGTGTAGGATCATCTGTCCCTGGGTATCAAATCCAATTCCAACATGTGCAAGGTGAGATGTGCCAGCCCCCATGGCCCTGCGAGAGGGGCAGAGATGCCGCTGCCCTAGAGAGATCCCCCCTACCCCACGGCTCAGACCGTTTACCCTCCTCCAGCCCCATTGTGTGAAGTCCCCCTTTCCTCCACACCCAGTGCACAGAGCTAGCGCCGTGGGAGAGGCTGCTGAACCAGCAGGCACCAGAGCGCCCCCTTTGGGAAGTAGGCAGGGCAGCCTGGGCTTGGTGAAGGCAGTTGCGGGGCCAGGGCTGAGGGTTCGGGGAAGGAAGCTGGAGCTGCCAGGCCACCGGGCTTTGCTGAGCCTCCCTCTCCCCTTGCCCGGTGAGGAAAAGCTCCCCCTGCCACCAGCAGCCCCATGAGCGACCTCCCCATCTCTGTCCATCCCACCAGGCCGGTCTGACAAGCATTGAAGAGGAAGCTGCGCCCGAGATACACCGAGCGATCTCTGGGGACCTGACTGCCGAGGAGGAGCTGGAGAGGGCCATGATGGAGGCAGCGATTGAGGAAGGGATATACAGGGTGAGCACAGTGGGAAGTACCACCCTCTAACCCCACACATACCAGCCCCACCGTCTGTGTCCCATGCGGAGCCTAGCACACTGAGAGTTGATTGCTGCAGACAGGATAGGGGCCAGCCAGCAGGTGCCAGGGGTGGGTGATGATGCCCGAGATCATAGTCATATTGTCATGGCCGCTTGGTGCCAAACGCTTGGGCAGGACCCAGCTCTGTGTGAGCACGTGAGTTGGCTGGGGGGCACAAAGCCACTAGCACGGGAGATGCCACTGTCTGTGGAGATGGACCTGATCACAGAGGAGAGTGTCAGTCACAGGAAACCTCGCCACCGACTGGCTAAGTGGGTCCTGGGTCACCGTCTCCTCTGTTCCCAGGCGTTAGGGTGGGCAAAGCTTTTGGCCCGAGGGCCACATCTGCGTATAGAATTGTATGGCAGGCCCTGAATGCTCACGAAATTGGGGTTGGGGTGCGGGACGAGGTGAGGGCTCTGGCTGGGGGTGCGGGCTCTGGGGTGGGGCCAGAAATGAGGAGTTCAGGGTGTGGGAGGGGGTCCGGGCTGGGTTGGGGTGGGTGCAGGGGGCGTTGAGAGCTCCGGCTGGAGCTGCGGGCTCTGGGGTGGGGCTGGGAATGAGGGGTTTGGGGTGTAGGAGGGTGCTCTGGGCTGGGACCGAGGGGTTCGGAGCGTGGAAGGGGTATCAGGGCTGGGGCAGGGGGTTGGGGCATGGAGGGGGGGCTTAGGGGTGCAGGCTCCAGGTGGCACTTACCTCAAGCGGCTCCCAGAAGCAGTGGCATGTCCCCACTCTGGCTCCTATGTGGAGGCACGACCAGCCCCATCCGCAGGCGCCGCCCCTGCAGCTCCCATTGGCCGTGGTTCCCGACCAATGGGAGCTGCGGGGGCAGTGCTTGGGGCAGAAGCAGCGTGCAGAGCACAGTCCCCTGGCTGCCCCTACGCATAGGAGCGGGGACATGCTGCTGCTTCCAGGAGCCGCGTGGAGCGGCCCCTAACCCTGCTCCCTGGCTGGAGCGGGGCAAGCCCCAGACTCCGCTCCCCAGCGGGAACTTGAGGGCCGGATTAAAGCAGCTGGTGGGCCAGATCTGGCCTGCAGGCCATAGTTTGCCCACCCCTGTGTTAGGTGGAGCTGTGGGCTGGTAACCTGAGCTCAAGGATCTCTGGGTTCTAATCCCAGCACTGGTGTTATCTCCCTGGCTGTCCCTTCCCCTCCCCTGTACAATGGGGATAATGGTACTGACCCCCCCGGACTGCAGAGCGGGATATTAACCAGTTAACGTGATGGAAGAGTGCTTGTTCCTGGGATGGACTGGCTAGTGTGTATTGGCACCTCTGCCAGGTGCACAACTATGTGTCACAGACCCAACACTGCTGACAGATTCCCTCTGCACTCACTATGCTGGGAGCTTCCAATTGGCTGTGGTGTAATGATAACCATGGCAACCCATGTTGCCAGCAGTCTGTGACAGTGTCCTGCCCAGTCTCACTCCTCAGGGAATCCCTCGCGTTCAGAGCTGCCTGCGAGTATGGGAGGGTTTATCTGGTAGGAGAGGCAGTGCTGCCTAGTGGATGGGCTGGGAGTGGGCTGCAACTCAGGAGACCTGGGTTCTATTCCCAGCTCTGCCATGGACCTACTGGGTAACCTAAGGCAAGTCACTTCCCTGCTCTGTGCCTCAGTTTCCCCCACTGTGAAGTGAGGAGCTGACCCCCCTATTTATAAAGTGCTTTGAGAACAGCTCTGTAAGAACTGGGACTGTTATTACTGCTCCCCTGCTGTGCATGATCTTAAATTCATCCACTATGACCGGCCTGGGCCGGCTGACCATGGGTTCAA